CTGCGCAGCCTCGGGGGCGGGGGAGAAGTGCCGCGCGCGCTCTCGGGGGCGGGGGAGAGCGCTGCCATGCCATCACGTGCGTAGCTCCATGCAGGAGCGGGCGCCGGGCAAAAGGGGAGCAGCAGAGCTCCAAGGCGGCAGGGCAGGGGCTCTGCTGCTAAGCGGCCGAGACAGCCAGTTTCGGGGGGGGCAGCCAAGGCAATAACCTCTGAAGTGAGAGGTATCCACAGGGGGCTGCTAGGGGAACCCCTCTCTTCCTATTGAAGTGCAAACAGCGGCTGGCACCGCCCCTTTGGCACATGCCCTATTTTGATGCAGTGGTGGGAGAACTCCTGGCTTCTCTTGGCTCTTCCACCGCCTTCTTTGGTGACTTTGCGCAAATTAACCTCTCTATGCCTCCGTTTTCCCCGCAGTAAAAAGGGGGATAATTCTTACCTCCCAGGAGTTAAAGAAGTTTAGTTCATTATTGGCAAGGTGCTTTGAGATCCTAGGCTGAAAGGCACTATAGCACTACTAAATATCTTTACAGTGACTTATCCTGGGGAGTTAACATAGCTTTGTCATGGTGATTTTACACTTAATAGGACAGAGAAGCTGCATCTGCCTGGAAACAACAGACCCAAGACCGGCCCCATTCTCTCCTCCCTCAAAAGCAAATCCTCAATTTATTGTATTTGGTTGGATGATTAAAATTGCAAAGAAATCAGGAAGCAGCATTCTCTGGGAGATCCAGCTGCCCACACAAACAACTTTTTTCATATCTGTTTATTCAATGACAATGTTAATCTTTCTTACAGTTATCTCCTTTCCATTCTGTTGTACTTGTAATTGCATTTGAAGTATCACTTAATCACTACTGTAACTGAAGATGCCTAATAAACTCCATTTTGTTTTTAAATAATTTACTATTGAGGTTTTTTTTAAATACCTTAAATACTGATAAACTCTATCCGTTATCATAGAGTTTGCAAAATCAAACTAGTTGGGATTTGTCGGGGGGAGAGGGCAGGGGCAAAGACTTGGTGTCAATGACTCAAAAGTTTGATAGACATTCAAGGACCATTGTTCTACAAAAAAGTACTTTGCCACATGTAAATATATCATGTATTACAGAACCAGACAGGTGCTATTTTTTGCAGTTGTTTTCTGTAAAACCGTGATCCTCTAAGCTGCTTTTGGGAGTGGACCTTTGCACTTGCACAGAGCCCCATTCATTTAATTGATTTCACTGGAGCTTCATGCAATATAAGGACTAAGAACATAATCAGAAAATATAGTAAAATTAAAAATGTGCTTAGTACTAATGCTGTAAAACTATTCATTTCTGATAAATTTATATTTTGAAGCTGAATATATAAAAATGATTGTGTATAGTGGTAAAAGACCTGAATTGGATGTGATGTTAGATAATCTGGGTTCTAATTCCCAGTGCTATTAACTTCCTTTTGTGACATTAGCTAAGTCAGCCTCTTTTTCTTCAACCATAAAAGGAGGGTAGTAATACTTACCTCACTCGTAAAGACGTAGTGAGGCTTAATTCATTATTGGTTGTAAAGCACAGAGATCCCTTGATGAAAGGTGCTACAAAAATACAAAACATGATTATTAAAAGTAGACTCCACCACCTTAATTTTGTTCTGCAACTACAGAGCTCCAATAAACTGAATACCTTGACCTATTTGAAAAAAATATTTCGAAGTTTTAACAGACCAAATTCAGCTCTGAAATAATCTCTAGAATAATAGGGAATGTAGTGAAAACGCTAGCATTGTGGCATTTGTCGGATAGATAAAGCAAGTAATTTACACATCAAGGAAGTAAAATGTGAGTGTGTTCAAGGAAAGTAACTACCAAACAAGTGTAAAAAAGCATGCACCACACTCTACCTTCCACGCAGGTTCTTGCAGTTGTATTTTCTATTATATGCACCCTCCATTGTTCCCTCCAGGTATTAAGTTAATTAATTTTGCATCCCCTGAATGCTAAACTGATGCAAGTTAGATTTACATATTGGGCATAAATATACCTCATTCTTTATATCTCCTTTTGCCTTGGAGGATTCCATGCTTGCACCACCACTACATTTGGCCCAGCTAGTTTCCCTTATCAGTTGCCTCCACCATATTTACTGGAGATGCATCTCCAATACTGTATTATCAAGATATGTTGTCCAAACAAGAGGATTCTTCTACCCTATTAGAAATCATCTATCATCTCATCGGTATTTCAGAACTGCTCAATTTGCATCTCAGAAATTCCCATTTCCACTGCTGTACCATCCCACAGCAAACAAACTAATTTCCTTTTCAGTAGTCAAGTTCTAAAGGATCTTTCTTCATGAGAGAAATTGTTTTTAATTTTTGGCATTTAACTACATGTAAGCTAGAGTTGCACAGAACATTCATTATGAAACTACACAAAAACGCTTGCTTTTCTATTTTGTCACAAACTCTAAACTAGTCCAGGTTTGTAGAGGCTCACAAACCTTATGAGTGAGCCCACGCTGATTATGCAGCGGACTGGACTAGATGACCTCTCAAGGTCCCTTGCAGTCCTATGATTCTATGAATGAACTTAGGCTGACTTAGCCGGTTGAGTATTTTGGATGGGAGCAGGACTTCAACTTAATTTCTTCTTACCTAGAAGTTACAGAATGCAAGTCCATGACCAAAGAAAAGGGTTCCCCCAAACTCCTACCAAATCAAACTGCTGAGTTTCACACAGCACTAGTATCAGCTTGCCCGCACAACTGAAAATCATAGTAGGCTGGCTAGCTCAGGCGACTGGATAACAGACCATGGAGCCTCTGACCTCTTCTAGGTTGCAGTGTGATTCCAGACCAGATTGGTAGTGATCAAAAGTAACCATTTGACAGTTGTTTGTTTGGTGGTCTGCATGAAATGAGTTTGGTCTCTGTTCAGTCCCAGATTCATGTGATAAAAAATACCACCACAATTTATCTTAATTAATTGTTTGGAGGTCCTAGCAAAGAGACTTAAAGACTGACTGGCAATTTAAAAAACATTCCAACAGACACCTACATGCTTTCTCCTATGCTGCCCCTTATGCACTGGAGGAGCTTCCTATAAATATCCACAAAACCACCACATTGTCTTCCTTCATATCCCTCTTTAAAACTCTTCTCTGCTGTGATGCCTACAAAAAACAACAATTGTTAGGCAGTTGGTGAATTGTGACCATTGCTTATAATGATCAGTTTTGTCTTATTTCTTCCTTGTGCTCCTTTGTTTGTTGTATCCACCTGTTAGCTTGTAAACTCTTGGGAGCAGGATCCATCTCTTCATTATTTTTGTGCAAGGTTTAGCACAATGGGATGTTGGCATCTAGGTGTGCTGCTATACTACTAACAACAGGCATGGAAATGTCACTGTCTTCTCATCCCCCTATGGATGGTACCTTCAAATCTGGGTTCAGGTAGGGAAATGGTAAAGGGATCGGATGACTCATTTTTTTTCCAAGAGACAGGACTGAAGAAGAGCTCTTGAAAGCTTGTCTCTCTCCCCAACAGAAGTTGGTCCAATAAAAGATATTATCTTACCCACCTTGTCTCTCTAATATCCTGGGACTGACACGGCTACAACAACATAAGTTTTTTCAAGACAGTTTCATTTTTTAATGGCCTTTAAAAATTGGAGCCTTAGAGTTGGACAATTGTTTTATACTCTGTACCTCAGCACACTCCTCTCCGCTAGGGGCACTATAGCAGATGTCGCAAAGCCATTTTCAGCAACCAGAAAGAGTCTGAAGATGGTATTACCCCAAGAGGCAAAGGTAGGGAGTATAAATCGTGAATGAGCTTCCCCTGGAGTGGGGAGTGACAGATGGTGCCTTTCTTCATTTTGATAATCCAGACACTTAAATATGGGAAACTTGCATTGTTGCTGCTTGTGCTCATGCTATACCTGTTTTACGGATAAAGGCCTTCTCTGTTTCCAGAAGCAATCAATCCAGCACCTCTCACAAACACTAGATGATGGGCTGTCATGCGGGGATGGCTCTGCAGCACTAGATTCTCCAAGGCTGTTGATTCACCACTTTTCTTGAGCTCTAGATTCACACAGATACAAAATACTTATCACTCTTGTCAATTCTCCTCCTCTTAGTAGAACGAAAAGTTTTGTTAGTTTCTCCCAAA